GATAAAAGCCAGCGCTTCCAGAGGCCAAAAAAAGGCCATAACCACTTTATGAAAGATGTACAGCTTTCACACAGCAGGAAACTCTACCTCTTGTTCAAACCAAACAGGAGAAGTTGATCTCTGGCATTGATTATAAGAACAAGAGCCATGTAAAAAATAAGAAATGGGTCACCCTGCAACAGAATAAGCATGTCAGAACACACAATTTGATAACCTCACCTTTTCTATATACAGCTCCCATAATGTCTTACAAACTTCATCATCAACACATGCAGCAAGAACAGTAGAAAACCAAGGATTTGCGTAAGTATGCGGAGGAAGTTTGAGTGAATCCAAGTGAGAACTGAATCAATACCTCAAGATTATTGAGCAGAAAGTCGAACAGCAACGTGTATAAAAATCACCTTATTTGGGGGTCATGGTATTGCAGCAAAAGACGGAATAAATCATAGATCTGGGCACTCTCTTTTGTCTCCCTGGAAGAAAACTGACATCATTGCAGCTTTATAAAGTGGAAAAACTCTGACTTTGGAATGTATTTGGTAGTAAATGCAAAGAACACATTGAATACATGCTCCTGAGGCAAATCGAATTTGAGAATTTTCTCCAAAACCTGAACAAAGAAAATAACGGAAGAACATGTGAAGCACATGTAATGAAATCCTCAAGAAAAGTGACCATAAAACTAAATTTGTACAAGATTCACTCACAGTAATCCATCCGCTGTCTTTTTTATAATCCACATTCCTCTTTTTACAATAAAGTGTCATGAAGGATTCCAATTCAGGGACAGATTTCTTGTTGTCCAGTAACTTAGCTAGTTTTCGGCAATCTAAAGCACTGTCATATCTTTAAAATACTGAAAATGCAGAAGCGAACAAGAGAAGAGAGAAGGTGAGGTGGTACAAACTTACAAAAAAATCAAATACGTACAATAAACAAAAATAAAAATTACCCTAAAATCTAACAGATAAGTCCTCCCATCAGGTAAGTCCGCCTGCAGATAAGTCCGCCATCAAAGAAATCCGCTTTTTTGACTCAGATAAAAGCCTTCAGATAAGTCC